GAGGCGATCACATCGACGTAAAAGATCGGTGAGCAAAGAATAGCGTAGTTTTAAAACTTGCAGCTTTTATAAAAAGTGTACGCGTATAAAGTTTCTATCCGTCGAAACAGTTCGTTGTTGTTTTTTTTTAATAATGTTTCTTAGGTGTTCTCTTTTTTCAGCATTCCACTTGGTCTCTTGCTTTCTCTCGCTCGTTTGCTCGCTCATTGATGCAATTTCGCTTGGATTGTTCATGCTGTTACCATGCTCAGAATATGTACATTCGTAATTAAATGAAAATGAAAAAAAGGGAGAGGAATAGAGATAGAAAATGTACGTGTGAAAAAAAATCAACGAGAACTACAGCATAGTCATTTCAGCACAATGTCTTTTTTCCTCTCTCTCTCTCTCTCTCTCTCTCGACATTGTTTCGCCTCATTCTAATCTCATGGAAAATCTTTCCGTTCGAAATGTTTATTAAAACCCCTAAAAGATAAATGAGTATTGATACCGATCCGATTGCTGCATCGTCGTCGCCAATATACCAAAATTTCATAACACGGAACGAAAAATGAGGATTTTTGGCTGTGTGGATGGCTGTACTATGTGTGTGTATATATGGGGGGGCGTATTAGGGTGAGTGAAAGTCATTCGATCGCGTATGTGGAAAATTATAAAAGTATGAAGAGTTGCACCGAAATTCCGAAACGAATAAATTCTCGTGCCAAAAGATTTTTAGATGGTTCTTTTTTCGGATTATTTTTTTTGTGTTCATTTACTTTGAGCAGCTCATTTTGCGAACATATCTTTTACCATTCGGCCGTAATAGCTTTTTTCATTTACGGTTGCTGTTGTTGTGTCGATTCGAAAACCAGTCTTTTACTTCCGCTTACGATTCGACGAAAATATGAGAGAGTGAGGTGAGGAGTGAAAAGGGAACGAAACAATTCAACGCAAATACTAAATACAATAACACCGAGAGAGAGAAAAAAACTCTCCTGGAAACTTTCAACCGAATGTAAAATTACAACGACAACAACAACAACGGGAAAGGAATTGAAAAGCAAATGCGACGAAGAATCGTCAACAACAACACACAAAATTGGGAAATGAAAATAACTCTTGCAAAATAAGTAATTTTTTTCCTCGTGTCGTTGTTGTGTGTATGAGGGAGGGGGGGGGGGGGGGGGAGAGGTGAAACCTATCAGAAAGTGTGTTTGTTTAAACCAAGAAATATTGTTTGCTTGTTGAAGAATGGTGCACCGCCAACCGGGAATGGAATGAGGACGAAGAGGTGTGTGCAAACAAAACAAAACACAACAGTAACATGATACCATAACCATCAGATTTACCTATGCAGAATTTCTTTTATAATTTTTAGCGACCCGCACTCACAGCGAAAAAATGAAAAAAAAATTGAATTCACATGCACACGACCCACGACCCACGCGTGAAAGGATAAAGACAGAAAGTCGAACAAATTAAAGCGCGCGAGCAAAAAAAAAACACATATATATATAAACATAACTACAAATAACCACTGTTATGCACAATGTTGTAAAGCAACGGAGAGAACAAAACGAGGGAAGAGAAACGAAAAACTAATATCGCAGCAAATCCAAACGAATGCAAAAATGTCTGCTTAATCAAATTCAGTAGTTTGATTGTTGCTTTTAATTTGGTTTGTGCAGTTTTGTTTCATAGAGTTTCTTTTGTTAAGTCTCTTTGTTTTCAACAAGCGAGAAGTTATTTGAAGCGCGCATTAAGTGGCAGCGTAGCAAAAACACACACACACACACACACTCACAACCGAATTCGACGTTTTGTCTCTCTTTCTGCTCTGCTTTTGAATTTGGTTGTGCTATTTTTCCATCACCATATGCTTCCGTGCATTCTGCATATGCTCGTTTTAGCATTGCCACATTTATAGATGCCTGAATTAAAAAAAGACTGCGTATTTTCAATGATTTTGCCGGGTATATTTACGTAAACAACCAGTTACATAAAACAGTCATATTAATTTTCTGTACTATTATTTCTGCCGCCCTCTGTCTCTCTTCCGGTTCAGTGCTATTGCTGCTTTTTTATTTTAAACTTATGTGCTTTCGGCTTATGAACTTCAAAACGATTACCACTCGAACAAAAATTATAAATTCCCTTTTTTTCGAGTCGAATATTGGTCTCGTTTACAACCATCAAGTTGCCTATTAAACAAGTACTTTATGTTGCCAAGCCATGTCAATCACACCAAGGCCCACACAAAAATTATCAACATTCGACGAATGAAATTTATGCCATACAACTTATTTTCCCACATGGAGTCTATTAAATGACAACGACAACAACTTTGAATTGAATTGAAACTTTTGACGAATTCTGTGCGCGAGAGCGACAAGTTGAAAATCTTATCTCCTTCTCTTTGCGTCACATATAATTTCGATTTTCGAAAAATTCATCCCCCCCCGAAATAAAACGAGTAAATGTATTGAAAATAAATACTCTAAGCACTGAACCAATTTAAAATTTCGTGCTTTTGCCATTATTTTCGCTTCGGTTCGAATAAAATTCGAACAGACACACATAAGACAAATATATTTACATTTATATGTGTGTGTGTATGTGTGTGAAAGAAAACGAACAACGCTTATGCTTACCATCTTCTTCTTTTTTGATATTTGGATGCATATATAATTTCAATTTGTGAACAAATAAATTCACCAATGAACATGAAGAATGTAGAACAACAAACAAAAACAAATATATAATAAATTCATAAAATTTCACTCAAAGCGTCGACCGAAGAAAGACAGAGAGAAATAATGATAAAGTTTCCTATGAAAATCTGTAGATGCTTAACTCACTTGTATACACACACAAATATACATATTATTATCCAGTTGCTATGAATGGCAGGCAATGTAGCTGAGAAAATAAGGAAAAATTAAGCAAAAAAAATAGAGAACTGAATGCAAACGTAAGAAAAGAGACAGAGCAAACAGAAAATCGAAGCATCGAATGCAAAGAAGAAGTACACTGAAAGATTTCAAAATGTAGGCATATTAAGATGGAGCTTATTCGTACGGCTTTCATTTTATCTCTCATAAAGTTATACTTTGTGCATGTAAATGTACATATCTTTGCACAAATTATGTGTAACACAGAGTAGCATTGGTGGTGGCGAAAAAGAGCATAGAGTGGTACTCCCTTGTTACACACATCTACACACACAAACCTGGCCAAAGAGAATGAAAGAGAGCGGGAGTGAGAGTGACATGGTTCAGTGTATCAGCTATACATATATGTATATATAATGTGTGTGTGGATAAATCGCAGATTTCGCATACATTGCACGCGTTCAACGTTTTCCAAGTTATGTTCCGCGCTCATTCTCAAAATAATATCAATTCAGAGTAATAGAGCAATATGGATATCGAGTGCATGGTGGAACACACACAGAATACTGAACAGGAAGTGAGAGCAAGCGAGAGAGAAAGCATAAAAGACATAGAAACACGGTGAAAACGTACAACGCGCATCGAAAAGTCACAAATGAAACAAATTTTCATACTCGTCCTGTTTTGTCGTGTTTCATCCTACTTTTCGTACATTTTTTATGTGTGTGTGTATGTGTTAATATTCGGTGTGTTCTGTCTCTTGTCTTGTACATATTCTTCTTCTTTTTCATCATATTTTTTATTCGTTTAGCTTTTATCATGTGGCCCGTTTAAACTATGCCATCAAATAGTACGATAGTAGAAAATATTTCAACCATCATAATACACACATTCTGAACACTATACATGGAACTGCTGTACGACCATCAACACCTCCACCACCACCATCATCATCATCGTCATCATCATCAGCAACAGCAACAACATATATGCAGCATTTTGATCGAGCCACTCGCACCAGCTCTTTCCCCACTACCACTCCCATTCCCGTTCTATTTTTCTTGTTGTTTTTTCTCTGTAGTATTTTTGCGAATATGCGGCATGGCTATGCTGTTGCTGCTTTTTCACTCGTTTTCAAAATCAAATATTAAAATTCTAAAGTGTGTACCATACAAGTGAGTGCACATTCCATGTGATGTGGAAAGAGCCCGCACAACAACCAACCAATGGGGTATATCATAATTTTTGAATCGCGCGCGCTCCTATGCACTCACTTAAAGTGAAATATAAACATATTTCCCTGGAAAAAGTTAAAGCTTTACCTCTTTTACTCATTTACTTTCTATCATCGTTTTTCATTCTCTATTTTTATTTTTTCTTCTTCCACCGAACTGGAGAAGTAATGCGTGTTTGGAATGAACGGTCCACAATAGCATTGCCACTGTCTAACATTTGATTATTATCATTTATTACTAGCGACACGTAGGCAAATGGAATGCAAATTACATAAATCGTAACGCTTTATAAGGCTTTTACATTCTCTCTCACACATTCAGTTTCTCATACATACATTCTTCAATTGGACGCATTCCAGATGATTAGATGGCATTTACACTGTTTACAATCTAACACATTTGACTGTCGTCGTTTCGTCAGTCAGTTATTTTTTCGCCGGTCGAAAATCTCTCTATTCAACCTTTTCATCGTACGTCACTCTCATTTTTTCTTCTCTCTCTTTACTTTCATTCTTCTCTTTAAAAAAAAAACTGATAAATATTCCCGAATTGAGCTACCGATTACACCGTTTTTCAATTGACGACCAAAATACGATATTGATATTGTGCAACGATAAAATCGGTAAAAGGTTTTCAGACGATGAAAAGATGATTTGCAGATATTGTGCTTGTGCAACTGTGTATATTTGTATTTGTAAGTGTGTGTGCTTGTTGGAACTTTCCATTGCGATGATATGATATTGCGTATGCCGCCGCACCATAGAATATCATTGCTATATTCCATACGCTCAATATATTCACTCAAACATACAGCAATAATAATAAAATTCACATCGACAAATATCACCATAGCGATTAAAATTTATAATATGAACATGTAATTGCAAAATACCTCTTCCTCTTTGGATCCGATGCCTTTGCTATTGCTTCAATGCGCCTGTAGTTCAGAGATCCTTTTCGAGATGCTGTTATTGGATGTCGTTTGAATCCAATAAGTTTGGCTTCTCACGGCTGTTCTGGATTGGTTTTTTCTTTTTCTTCTCTTCTCATGCAGGTTTTTATTCTTGCGCTTTCGTTTGGTTTCTTAACGTTAGTGTTGTTTTTCTTCTTGTAACGTTCTCGTGTTTTTGTGTCTTTCGGTTTTGGTTCGGGTTTCGAATGCGCGTTCGTTTTTTTTTCTCTTTTCTATCTATTTATGCAAGTAGCTTTTCATTTTTTTTTTTTCATAGAGTTTTTTTAAACATTCGTTTTTGCCCTATTCTTTTTTTTTTTTTTCGTTCTGAGTTTCTACACACTTTTTTGTTATTTAAGTACGGTGTTTTTTTTGGAAATTTTTATTTATGTTCTCTTGTTGAGAATCTAAGTTTGATGTGTTTGCGGATTCACGACACAAGAAATGAAAGCGTATGCCGAATTTAGGCGATATTCAATTCCAATGCTACCGGTTCTCTATTCTTTTTTCTTCTTCTTTTTCTCTCGTTCTAAATAATTCGATTCGATGAGTTCGATATAAATAAACGTGTGTGTATGCTTGTGAAATCCAACTGGTTGTGTGTTTATTTAAGTTATTTTTTTTTTGTGCAACTTCGGTTGCTGTTTCTCGTGTTTGCTTTCTTTTCTAACAGTTGTCGGTCTCTTTTGTAAAGCTTTCCTGCAATTCAATACAGCTCATTCCATTGAAATCGAAACGAATGCTTTTTTTCGGGGCAAAATTTTCCTTTCTTCTCTACTTTGGGGTTTCTCCCCGTCTTTTTTTTTCAATTTCAGTTCAATCCGTTTGATTTTCTCGGCACACATATACGCAGATACACTCATACACAGCAGGATTTGGTTCTCGGGTCGACTGTATGTGCGAGAGCAAAGTGTATTCAAAATGAAAATTTCAGTGTGCACCAGCAGCATGCACTATCGTTTTATGAAGTCGAGATCTCTTGTATGGGGTAGGTTTTCTCTGTGCTTTTAAATGGACGTGTTTGAGTATGTTTGTGGAACGTAGTTTCATTAATTTCGTTCTTTCTATCTTTCGGTTTTTGTTGTTTTTGTATTTTCTGCAAATGATGGTTCGACTTGTCTAACTCAATGTAATCGAATTGGTGCGAGTCCAAAAAGATACTCTCTTCTTTGCCGTTTCCCTCTCAAATCTATTCCTTTGATTCACTATGATATTGCTCAATTCTCCGGCTGATGCTATTGCTTTTGCTGCTGACCTCTTCGCAGCAACTTCTTTCTTCTGGTTATTGCGTGGATATTCGCCACTCTCGATATTTGAGCTATTGCCGATTTTACAACTTCTATATTGTTTTTCTTTCTCCTCACGCTGCTCGTTTTTTTTTGTTTTATTATTTTAATATCGTTTTTTGTTTGTGTGTTTTTTCTTCGTTCGTCGTCCTGGTTAAATTGTTTGTGCTCGCTTCCACGCTGCCCCAGTTCGTTTTCTGCGAATGAATTTTTTGGCAAATTGGCAAAATGAGCGTGCACAATGTGATATGAAATTGAGAGAATGGATATGATGCGACTTGATTTTTTTGTGTTGTTGTTGCCGTTCCTCAAACTCTCTGCTCTCTCGATGGTTGTATGTTATTAATATTATTTTTTATTATTTCAGCTTTATGTACTAATTCAATTGATGAATCCTTCAAAAATGATCGCAGTTCTTTTACGCTACACTAATTTCCCCCCTCTCTATCTCTATCTCTCTTTATATCGTTTGTTGTTGTTGTGCGATACAACTGGTTTCCACTTCACTCGATAAAAGAGATTGCATGGAAAGTTGTGGTTCTCGATGATTTTCGTCTCTTATTCTCTTTTTCGGTGTTCTTTGCTTTCGTTTTGTTGATATTGTTATTATTGTTGGTGGAACCGATGTGCGTGTTATTATTTCATGGCACACATAGATAGATAGATATGTTCATCTAATGCAATCACTTGTCCCGAAATGCGCGCACCGAATAAAAAACGGTTTTACTACCCAGAAAAAGAATGTGCGCGCGTAATATAGCAATGAATCCACAACAAATATATATATTTCCACCAACCGAGCAACACAACGACAATGAATAGAAAAAAAAATCGAGTTTGAACGACGGAACAAAAAAAAATAATCCGTAAAATTGCACGATAAACGGCACAACAAAACGAGATTCACATTCAATTATCACAAAAATCTACGCCTTCACATTACAAAATGGTCTTTTTGTCTTTTCTAGATTAGAGTTTTGGTCTTTTTTTTCGCTCTTTCTCTGTGTATATGTCTATTTTTCGCGCACAAATAAATATATGTATACCGCACCGAATTAGATGGCAGTCTCTCTATTTCACGCAGTGATTTGATTTTATTTTTATTTTTTGCAATTTAACTCTAGTTACTGTTCTGTTTTTCTGCTGTTGGAGCTTTTTTTCCTCTGTCTTCTGCAGATTTTTTTTCCGCTCTCGCTCGGTTCGTACTTATTCTCTCTTTTTTTTATTTTGGTTAATTCGCCCCGCTTGGATTGTGTACGCGATTATATTTTATATATTGGCGGCGGGTGGCACAATGAATACACATCGGGTGAGTGAGAAAAAAAAGTAACTGTAGTACCGTATCACAACGAAACAAGCATCTAAAACGAAACCACTTTTGAATTGACTGGTATAAGTAGTGAAAATGCCAGGCCGAACGTGTATTCCGACTGAGCAGGAATAAAATATAAATTATAATAATAATAAAAAGTAAATGACGAAAGATTGAATCAGGAGAACAACAATGTCGACCGAATCAACGAATGCGCCGCACAATAACAACAACAACAAGAAAAATTGCTTTTCATACGGTATATAAATGTGTACGATTGTGAATGTTTGTGCTGTTTTCAGTTACACGATAAAATGATTGAGAGAGCGAAAATATTTTCACTAGGATTCACTTGCGGCGAAAGACACCAACTAAATAGGATTTTGTTTGCCTTTTCCGTTTCACTTCCGTTTTCGACTTGAATCGTGGAAACTTTGCTAAATGTTTTGAAGCTTAGTTTGGCATTTTATTTTTTCGTTGTCTCTTTCTTTTATTTTTTTTTTCCGCCGTATTCCACTGTCTATTTATTTATTTATTTTTATTCTGTCCCTTTCCTGGCGTTTTATTTTTTGTTTCACTTAAACCACGAATGTTTTGAATGTTTTCACCGTTTTTGTCTGTATCTGTCTCTCTGTGTGTCTCTTAGCTTTTGATGATTGTTTGATGTTTCAAGCGTAAGCCACGCGTGAAAATGTGTAGAAAATTCGTAATATGGTTTATGATTTCCGTATACTCTTTTTTACACTTAATTTATTCCGCGTTTATGGCAAGGGAATTTGCATCAAATAGCAGAGCAGCAAATCAAACACAAAACATTGACAACAACAACAACAGCAGCAGCACAAACGGCAACAAAAGAGTGTGCCACGGTGAATTTGTTGGATGAACGCGGCAACTCGTTTGGTTCGTCTATATATGTACGCCCGAAGAAAGAGAGAATTGCACACGCATTCGCTCAATCGCAGACAATACACACAACAATCAACGTGTATATGTATTAGATGTGGTAAAATGTGGCGCGGTAAATGGGAACGTGATTCACAATAATGATTATTATGATGTCGAACTGTCAGAACACATTCAGTGATAGTTATGGCAATAGCGACGGTTAAATGAATGGCATACTCGAATCGAATTCATAAAGTGCGTTGATGTTGTAAACGGTCGACACATAACTGCTGCTCTTGCACAATTTTTTTTTTGCACAAATATAAAGCACGAAAACTCCAACTTCTATAGTTCGACAATCACACACAGAGTCTTTGAATCTCTCATATGTTTGAATGGGCCTTTTTAATATTCTCGCTTCCTTCCGCTTTAGTCCTTGTTCACCGTTTCTTGCAACATTGAAATACGCACATACACATAAAAATACAAATGAATCTCGTTAGTTCGTTAGTTCGTTCACACTCACTTTGCAAAACAATAATTAGCACTTTAGCTTTTGACTATTCACCGCGCGCGCCGTATGGACATTTGCTACAGATGCAAAAATCTTCGTCGTCGTTTCTTTCCTTGTTTAGGCGAGAGTTTCCTTAGTTGATATGATATATGTCAATGTGCTCCAAGTGTATACTTTTCGTGTATGATTAGCAACAATAAATATTTGCCAAATATGAGTGTGTGTGCTTGTTTGTAAATGTGGCACAACCAAACGAATGATGAATGAATAGAGACGAATTAGTTACTGTTTACACACGAATGCATTGGGCGCATGGAGTGAAGTGAGTGCAAAAATGAAAAAGTTTTTCCTGCCGCCCAAAATCCAAAAGTCACAGCACGATATCAAATAGCTGTGATCTCTGTCGTTTGTGCTAGTTATACGTGTATAAGTTCCACTTTTCTTCGCTGGTCTTGCCGCATTTGGTCTCTGATGGTGTTGTGTTTGTTATGTGGTGCACTGTAACACAATATGTCATACAGAATCTCTCGTTTCAAGAAAATTTTCACGAATTCCAAAGCAATGTCACCAAACCAGTCAAATAGCCAATTACGTACAGTTTTCGAATGCTCGAGAATTTCGAGAAATTGCAATTTGTTATGCTATGAACAATTTAGATGTGGCTACTAGTGCTGTTTTCTGTTGTCTTTTCTCATGCATACACTGTGTACTGGCATTTAATTATGCTGTCGTACTCTCAATTCACTATCCCTTGGCTCGTGTTTGGGTTTTACTTATTAAAATTTGTGTAAATGCAAACGACGAGAATTTGAGAGAGAGAATATGCCGTATCTAAATATTCTGTGACCGTTGTCAATGTTTGTCGCTTTTTGTTTCCCAAAAAATCGTATGTGAGAATAAACAATTTCACTGTACGAATCACTCTAATTCAGTGTATCTGTTTTATTAATTGTTATTTGTGTTCACTTCAAGTTTTTCGCTCGATTCCTTTTTTTTTCTCTTTTTTGGTGCGTTTTTGAGCTTGTTTTTAAATTTAAGTTTTTTTTTTTTAATTTTTGCTGTCCTTATTTTATTTATAGAATTTTATTTTATTTTTATTCTGCACTTAGTTTTGCATTTTTCTTTCGGTCAATGCATATTGTGTTGGTTGCAGCGCAATGCTCTCAAGACCATCTCCCATCGGTATCTTGTTCTTTCTCTCTTTCCGTTTTTTTTTCTTTCGCAGTGTTAGTTGTATTGTTTGATATTTTCTCTCTTTACAATTTGTATGTGCATTGAGTGTATGCTATTTTGTGTTGGTGAGACAGAGCGCGCACATTCGCGACAATACGGATAGAAATGCATTCGAGCCGTTTTACTCGTTTATCATTGTTTATTTGTATTTTGAAATCATGTCACGTATTTTGTTATTCTCGCATACACAACTCACGGTCCGATTCTCGATTGTCTATCTCTCGTTAACGTTATCGCGTTTTGGACAATTATGATGAGAAATTTTGAATTTTCCAACACTGAATTATATAGATGATACACTAACTCTCGTTCTCTTTCGCTTTCCCTCTATCTTTTTTCTCTCTTTGACGAAGCGTTTTCGCTCCGGTTCAAATGAAAAAGAAAAAAAATCTGTAAAATTTTACACAGCGGTCAGTGAGTGCATGGAATTTTAACTTTAACTAGATGGAGTGATAGAAACTGCATTCCAAATAAGAATAAATCAAATTTTCATCGTCAATTTCATTCCACATAAATTATTGTTATTAATCTCGTTGTTTCCGATTTTGCTGTTCTCTCTATTTTGCACAATTTCTGTTTGGCTTCCGTTTGGATATGGATGCATTCGCCGAAATTTTAGTATCGTTTGCAATTTTCTCTCGTTTCTCGGGTTGCTTCGTCTCTTTACGATGTTCTATGCGTGTATTTTTCCTCTTGTAATTCCCGTTTATGTATATATACACGTATATACACTTGCTTCACAGCTAAATGTTACCAAATCACATAATTTAGTGCAGCGAAATAGCGACGAATTTGGTAAAAGTGCATGTTATGGGCGAGAGAAAAAAAATGGCACGGGGAAGTAAAAATGCCAATTCGCAACCAGGAAAACAACAATTTTGCCAATTGACACAAAATATAAATCGCGGTATTTATATCAATGCAATCACAGTTCGTATTTTCTGGTTTTTGCACAACAATTCAGCGAATCACTTTGATTTTAATTTGTATTTAAAAAAAAAAAAATCAAATGTCACGAAATTTTCACCGGAATTTTTCGTTTTACTCATAAACGTAACCGATTCGGTTTTAAAACTTTGACAAGACTACAAGACAAACAATTGAAATGTGTAAGAAAGAAACTTTTTTTTTGTTCCCAGTATATCAATGTAAATTAAATTCCTGTTGTAACTTTTGAACTGTTACAATTTCGGCTTCCTCTCGGTATTTGTTTTACCACCCGTTTCGACAATCATCAAAAGGATACTGAAATTGCTTTCGCACTGGAAATGTGTATTAGTAGCCGAATAAACGATTTATTTGGTGCTGCTTTACTGCCTGCTGTGTATTTGTGTATTCCTGCTGATACGATTTTTTCGTCCTTCTCCTCTCGCCTCGTTGTGTGTGCCGAATTATGTTCAGACTTTTCTTATCCGAAATTATTTCCATGTATTGGTTGGTTGAATGTGCGTGTATTTTCATAACGTGTGCATATCAAATTGTTGCCGTTTCATTCTATTCCATTCACTAATCGGCCAACTCTTGAGTGTATGTAGTGTATGTATTGAGGGTCTTCATTTGGATTCGGTACCGAATACACCACGTTCCCGTTTTCATTCAATTGGTGTTTCGTCTCATTTCACGTTATGAAATGGGAGATGGAAAAAGAGTACGAGCACTGCAATATGTGTGTGTGCGCGTGTATGCATTGTGTACAAACCGTTTTCATAATGTTGAAGAGCGCAACCTCAGTTTTCCGACACACCGATACAGACAACACTCTCTTCAATACACAGCAGTGTGGCTGATGTTGTCGGTAACGCGCCAGCAGTGAAAAATGCCTGTGTTTAGCATACACACCATTCACAATTCTGTTCACATATTTTCCATATTACCATTCTTGAAAATGTTTGGAATCGGTGGAAAAAAGAAATATGTTTTGTGTATATTTGAATGCGACTATGTTATAGATATGTTGCACAAACGCACACACCCATGCACAATCATGTAACAGTCATGAATTTTATTTCTATTTTCATTCGCTGCTCACACACACATTGAAAAAATCGATAGATTTCCCGTTTTACTATGATCCAAAAAATTTCGCACGCAGACACAGCGATTCCGTTAAATTCATGTACAAATGTTCATACAATAACAACAGTACATTGAAACCAGCGAATAGCATATCCATACACTCGCCCGCTGCTATACTATCACATAACGCCACATACATCCACACATAAAATCATATTCATCCCAAAAAAGTTCCGAAGCCTTCGCTTGGCCAAAGCCATTTCATTACAACGATGTTTTCGAACCTCTTAAAAGCAATCCAATTTGAAGCGTGTACGATTTCCGAAAGTATCAATTGATACGCCGTTTGATTTCGGGATGCAATTTTATTGGAATTGCGTGCGCGAGAAATCGTCGTTTCCCATGTTTCGTCTTCAATTTTCTTCTTTGCATTCAAACATTGAAATCGCCAAGTCGTAAAAATGGGAGAGCAATAGAAGCAAAGTAGAAAAAAAGGTCGGCTCAATAAAAATGAGCGCGAAAATCCCAAATTAGCTAACTTGATTAGATGAGCTTTAACACTGTCTCGAATCTTTTTTTTTTCGCCTTTACGTCGTTGTTGCGACCGTTTGGTATTCACACAATCAAACCTTGTGCACGGTTAAGAGAAAACTTAATGTGTGTAGCATAATCAACGGCGTTTCATGTTTCATTTGTCGGTCAGATAGCAAGCGTGCTAGAGAGTGAGCGCGCGCGCGCTTTCTCGAAACATTCGCACATTCGGCTACTGTCTTTAATGTACAAATAACGAAATGGTTTATCGTGAATGAGCGCATCGTAAAAGTGAATATTACATTACCGTGAATATCAATTATAGGTTGTCTTCGTTGATTTTAACAATTACCATTTAACCGACACGACCCACATTAACGAAATGATATGCCAATATTTATCGTTCGGCCAAAATGGATTGCGAATTATTGTCGCAAATGGAAATTCTTTAAAATTCTGAAAAACTCTGAATAAATTAATTGAGCTAGGATGTATATCAATAATTCGATGAAACTTTTTGAATTTGGATGACACGGTCATCGGGCATTCATAACGGTTCGTGAATTCTCGAATTACACCGTATTTTTATTCACTACCTACGTTCGTTCTCTTTTTTTTTCACTCGCTGACCCCGCTATGCCATTTGATTCACTTCGGTTTTTCTTCCATTTATAATAAATTTTGTATCATTTCCTTGCAGCAAATTAAATTTTCATTTTCAAAATGGTTTGGAAATGGGTCGTCCCTTCGAATCATTGATGTGAGCACTTTCGATTGCATTTAATGCTACTCAAGTTTCTTTTAATAATAAACAACCGAATGTTTCTGACAGCCGGCTTTTAATCTCAAAATTTAACTTTAAAATTAGATCATCGAATCTAATTGTACCTCACTATATTCCATTCGCACAAAGTTCAACCAAACGAATCGAATTGCAAAAGTCCCATTCACCCATTGTACGGTTCATTCGTTCCACAATCATAAACTCGCATACGCGTCGCACACACATGACTCTCGCCACTCACCAATAATGCATTTTGAATTGTCCGCAACCCTTAAAATATGGCTAGAATGAAGATGATGTGTGCAAAATTGTACCGAATCTATTCAATAATAACGACAACAACATGCACACAAAAAAAAACACATAATCTCAAAAGTAAAAGCGTGTGACATAACTCGCACTACGTGCTACTTTATCTAATAAACCAATAAATAAACTTTACTCTTCGAATATTTCACATTATTTATCTTTTGTATAGTCGCATTACTCGCCTATCGCATTTCTTCCAATTCCCTTTCTCTCCCATTCTTTATTCCCGCCGTTGTGTTTTCGATTTCGTTCCTGGTTCCAATTTCTTTTTTTCTTCCTTTTTTTTCGGTATGTGTAAATGTGATGTATTATTATTTGTGTTATTATTTCGCTCACCCTTCGGTTTATTTCATATTTCGTTCATTGTATTTTTGTTGTCAATCATTATTGCATGTTCGCCCCTCAATTACACTCTCTCATAAGCACTTTCGCCATCGTTGTCGCACCATCACAGTCATCATCAGCAGCATCACTTGCACGATCTCTCTGTACATAGTTTGAATTGTGAATGAAATGGTGCCAAAAAAGGCATCAGCCGCAAACGAACCGGAGCTATTCGAATTCCGCTTATTTGAAGAGACAAAGATTGAGGCCGGGCAAGTGAGTGCATGTCGTTTATGTTTGCGTAAGAGAGAAAGCAAGAGAGATAGAGAAAGAGAGAGTGAAAGAGAAAGAAAATAAATGCCATTGAGTAGAGGCTAAGAGATAAGCGGTAAGAGTCAAGTTCAAGCATACTTAACTCGGGGATAATCGGTAATCCATTGCATTTAATTTACCGTTACACTCTTCTAAAAATCATTTTCTTTGACTTATGGCTATAATACGCCAAAGTTAAGTTATAATTATGCCTGATTTGATGGTAAATCGACGACGCATACTCACATGAAATCGATTATTCTGGTTGAATAATGAGAGCCGAATTGAATGTATATTTATATCCAGTTTAGTAAATGACATACATTTTCATGTGAATTTTTCCGTATTGTTGTTTTCGTTCGTCAAATAATAAATAGGCACATATGATTTTCATTGATAATATTGAAATAATTTCGTTGCATGTTTTTATCGAATCGAACAACAATGAACCAACAAATATTTCATCATTAAGTTGTATTTTTTTTTTCATTCAGTTCTTTGCTACGTTTCATGGAATTAGATCAGGTTTCATTTGAATTCCCTTTATTATTATTTTTCTGAATTTCGTTTTCAAAATTACACACAAAAAAAAAAGAGAAGCGAATGCGTCCCGAGTGAAATGTCCGAGTTTTGCTGTGAAGCTGTCAACCATAAATGGACATGTTCATCACACAAAGGCACTATTCCTCATCATAAACGCAGCTCAGATATTTGTGTATTTTTTTCACTCTCTCCCTCTCTCTCTCCTCTTTCTCGTAATAAATCTCATTTTATTGAGTGCTATACTCCCCGGCAATGTCGTTATTGCTTTTAATACTGAAATGCAACAATCGACGTCTGGGATGTTGCCCATTTTGATTGTCACAATAAAAAGTGATTTTTCCCCATTCTCTTTCTCAATCGCTCGCTATCTCGATGTTTTCGCTTTGATTTGTGAGCAATTTTGTTTTGGATTTATTTCGATATTTTGGACTGACCGACATCGATCAATTAACGAAATTGAAGATTATTATTGCTTATGCCTCGATATTATCCTATGGCAATGTGAAGATAAAAATGTCAATTTTGATGCGAACAAAAAGTCATTCGCCACAATTTGAAATTGAAACGTCGAAATATTCATTTTAAATTACCTATAAATATTACATGAACGTTAAAGCATGAACGTTTGTTATAATTAATCAACGATCTTATTTCGTTTTTTTTTCTTTTTCTATTCTGTTCGACTGCAAGTATAGTACAACATGCTTTGGCTTCTCTTGTTTCGGTATATGCGCCTTTTTTTGCGCCTGACCTTAATTTGTATACCATCGAAATGAGATTAACTTTTAAATTTAGCTTATTTTCGTTATAAACATATCGCTGATTGAACGAGAGGGAGAGAGAAAGAGAAAGAAAGTATGCAACAGAGATGAAAACAGGGGCAAATGCACATCTAAACAAAAAAAACTCTATCTTTCTCTTATATATACGCACACACACATTTGCTCTCGAATACTGAACACCAAAAATAGTTCACAACGCCAATCAAACTGCTTAATTTGTGTAAGTCATTGTTTGACCCTTGCACAAAATTCTCTTTTGAAATCGCCCTTGAAATAAATTTATATCGTTCACTCGACTTTGTGCTCCGTTTCTCTCTCATTCGTCGATTGTTGCCTGTGTGCCTGTGTAGAACGTTTTAACTTTGCTAATTGGCGATTGTTTTCAAATGTGCTGCGTTCCTTTGCCGCTTTTTCTCGAAATGCAATGCTCGCAATTTTGAATTTGGGCGCATTCTCTCTCTATATTTTTTTTTTGGTTGGCTGTCAATTCAAATTATTGCACACGGATGAAACTCATAACGATTGTGTGGCTCTTATTGTAGATATGCTTTCTAGCAAACGCACGGAATATATCGAACCAACGGG